CTTTTCCAAACATGTTGTTTGTTTTACAGAAGCAAAATGGTGAAAAGTGTGTAAGAAAAGATAATATTCTGGAGTGTTTTATTGACTGTAGCAGTAGTCTTATGATGCCTGGAAAGATAAAGAGATTCCTTTGTGAGTACTGAAATTCAGTCTATACACAGGACTTTATCAGAATCATCATCTTAAAACTCACCGTTGCCATCTCAGAGGTGGTAATTCAGATCATGAAGCACTGCCCACTTCCTTCGCTCTCCTCTAACAGATATCAATTTAAAAGTAAGCTGGCAGTTTTATCAAATAGTGGTAAGTGCTGACCCAAGGATAAATAAATAGATATTGCAAGGACTATCTGAGAGCTACACTGGATTAACTGGTTATTGAGCACTGTCTGTCCATTGCAAGTACCGTGCTGAAGAACTCTGATCACAGACAATTAGATTTTGTGTCTTTGTTATTGATAGGGATTCCAAAAACTGGTTGCTGTAATTCTTAATGTATTTGTAGCTTGTGTAGGTGCCTTTAAGAAAAAAAAAAACTACAACTAAAAAAATACTTTTTGGTATCAACACATTCCTTAGATCTTTCCCCCCTGTTTAGTGATGTAGGCTGTCCATTCCACTAGGTTGCCTTTGCACTTGTCCTTCCTTGAGTTCATTTCATTTGAGTATTGCTCTACTCCCTTCGGCCTGTACTTAGACTTTTAGCAGCTACGCTGTTTAATCTGCCTAGAGTCATACCCTTCCCTGTCTCTTTAACTCATTGATATCCCAAGTCGTCCACTGGATTGTGTTAGCAACATGTTTATATGGCCCTTCAGTGAAGCAGGCCAGGGAACTTGCCTCCTTGAAACCATTCTTCTTGGCCAGTTTGTTTTATTCTCAGCTTGGCCAGTCACCGTCGTGATTTACTGTTCAGCTGTAGCAGTGCTAGAATGAGGGAGGTCAGCAGGAGTGAGTGGGAGTTGCCAGTCAACCTATTATACAAAAAGCCAAGTAAGTACTTGAGCTTATCCTGTCCACTTATCCTATACTGAGCTGAAGCTGCTGTCAGTTCCTAATTTACAGCTGATTGTTTATCATCCTACAAAACCAAAAGGGTAATAGTACTTACAGTACTTTTGTTTTGTTTTGTTTTAAATCCATAATGATCTGCATCTTTTACTTCTGTGGTGTCTGGTAGATAAGAAGTGAAGCTTTTGACTTAGTTGGGATGTGGGTATAGCTGTAGGGTTTGGAAGTTTTTTCTTTAAAAAAAAAATAAATTTGTAATCCACGTCATCTTACTCTAGATGCTTTGACCAGTAAGGTACAGTTACTGCCTGCAATTAGAGCATTCTGAAGGATAAAAGATAGTTGTATAATAGTATACTTTTCAAAGTTTACGAACACTTAATTTGCGACATGTATAATAACAGAAAATAGTTAGGTTTTTTTAATAGGAAAGTGTGTTGAGAAAAGCATTTAAGAACAAAAAGTGAAAGTTTTAGAGTTGGTGTTACTCATAAGTTTCTCTGCATGTTTTGAAATTCCCCTTTTTCTCAGGAAAGTTTTCTTCTGAAACTTCAGTCAAAAGACCCACAGGAGCAGGAAAACCAGAATCAGACTAGTAAAAATGGCTATCAAACACAAGTTGAGGATTTTTTTTTTTATTTTTAGACCAGGGCTTGTATGCTTTAAGCAGTTAAGCGTGCTTTGATTAAGTGGTTCTTTGTTTCAAAACAAAACTAACAGTCCCGTATCCCTCTTGTGATATCTATCTTTCCCAATGTGGTGGTGTCCTGTTGTTTTGTCGTCCCATCATGCACAGCTCTCTAGATACTTGTGGGGAAAAACATCAAGGTGGTAGAGCAAGTGAGCAGCGCAAAGTCATTGTGATACAGTGGAAAGATTTCAAATGTTTCAGTTGAAAGAGAGGTAGAGCTCAGCTGCTGGAATTAATTCCTGGGTGAGAGAACTGGATCTGCAAAAGACTGGGTAATTTCTTTGCTTGTGTACAGCAGCCTTTCTGGTGGTGTCTTTCACAGTGCTGAACTCAAAGCCCTGTGACTAGGAAAAACTTTCTTTAAAAAAAAAAAAAAGACTCCTGGGGCCTCACAAAATGCTAGAAAACCTGAAATTTAACTGAAGAAGAGACCGTCTCTCATAGTCTGCAAGAAGAGATTTGTTTCCTTTGCCTCCATCCCCAGACTCATTGAAGTTAAATTTTTAAAAAAGAAACAAAACTACAAACCCACCAAAAAACTCAAGAGGTGTTTCAGCTGCTGTGATTTACTTGAGGTTGAACGATCTTTTTCTTCCTCATGCAGTGTAGACTTTTGACTTGTTTACAACATAAGGAGAAGACAGTTACTTCACACTTTATTTTGGTATGCATATGTGCTCATGCAGTAGAGGAGGAGAAAGATTAGTGAAATAAATGTGAATAAAAGTGTAATGTAGTCCATGCTATTTTCTCATTTTCAAAGTGATACTTTAAGGCAGACTAACAGATGACAGCATCTACTTACTTAGCAAAGGTAACTTCAGCCCCTTTTGATCTCTATTTTATAGTATACAGAAGTGCACTCTGAATACTTGAAATCCAAACATTTTTGTGTGGTTTTTACCTTCATGGCCTGTATGTGTCAGTTTTTAACGTTTGCTTTCTGTAAGTTTGTTCTCTTGGCAGATATCTGGTAAGGAGTCAAGGGGAGTGCAAAATACCTTTTTTCCTCCCACCACTTAAACTGCTGTAGTGTTTGGGTATTTATATAGCTAAATAATACAGGGCTTGTATAAACTGTTAAGTGCAGGGATTTTTTGCCTCTGATGTCACAGGATCACATATTTTATCACGTTGTAAAGAAACATGTATGAACTTCGTAGGGCTTTATTGTTTTGTGACTAATGCAGTGAGTTAGCTTTGCCTAAAACAATTCTCATTATAAGAATAGAAGCTTTTTATGAACTGTTGGTAATTTTAAGCATTTTAGAAAAGAGTAGGTTCTTTAACCATGTGAAATCTGCATTTTAACCTTGAAAAATGAGCCTTTTGGCTACTCAAACTTAATTTTCCATTTTCTTTTCCTAAGTATTGCATATAGATTGTGGTTATTTCAGTACTATGAGGCTTCCTTAAATGTTGTAATATTTTGGGAGGGACAGATGAAGTCATGAATTGAGCATCCAGACAGCTGTTTGTACCACCTAGTTTAGTGTGGTGCCCCTGTGCCAAATTCTTTATTTTTCTTAGCTAGTTACAATTTCTTGTTTCCCTTCTGACTGCCACTGACAATCCTGGCAGATGGTGTTGGAGATACACATGTAGAAGAGTTTTAGGCACAGCATCCCTTTACAACATCTTTGAGCTTAGGCTGTCAAAATTTGTTAGATGTCCCTATATCTTCTTGCAGACACCATGTACCAATTTTGCTCGACACCACTTCAGTGTTTTTACACTAAGCAGCCACAAAGGCGCATGAGACATCTTGCTCTGCATAGAGGTGTTCAGATCTAATAAGTTTGCCATCAAATTTGTAGTGGTAGTGGACCACATTTTTCCCGATCTCTTTTATTTGTCCTATAGTTGGTAAAATACAGCTGTGCTCTGTAAGGTAAGTAGTGTAGTTTAGGTAGGACTTCATGCTGTCTATCCTGTTGAACTAGCTCTGTCTGAAAGAGTTCATTTCCTGTAAGAGTTTGTTCCCCTCACCCCAGAAGGAGATACTCTGCTGGGCTGATTATCTCCATGCAGTTCACCTGTCTTGTCACATTACCTACCTCTCTTACTGAAGATGCTTTAGGATTCTGGCACACTGTACATTTCACTTTGAAGTTCTAGGCTTGTAGTGCAGCCTGGATCTGATGAGCTTGCGTTTTGATTCAATAACAAGTTTGTGTCCTTTTTTTTTTTTTTTTTTTTTAAAAAGGGCTTTGTTGGTAGCCATATTATTTCAAAGACAGTGAAATTCAGAGACTGATTTCATTTTTTTTAAAAATTTGTTAGAGTTGCCTTAGTTTCTACCTAATATCTTAATGAAATTTAGCAACCATTTGCCAGTGTGAGACCAATGAGTTACCTGTTAGTACTCTTCCCTGATCCTTGGGATTTTGGGCATTTTTGCCTATTATGTGAAAATAGCTCCACCATTTCCCTTGCAAAGAAAACTGTCCTACTACTTGCATAGATGTCACAGAAGCTTTTGGAGAGAAAGCATTTTTGGTGGGTGGTTTTCAGTTACATGTCTGGAAGGTTCTTGAGAGTCTTCTCCAGGGGGTACAATTCTGGAGCCCCGTTGTGGAACACACATGGAGATGAGTGCTCTGAAAACGGGGCTGCCAATCTGTGGAGTTGAGATTTTGCTCCAATGCTACATTCCTTTCGCTGTGTCCTTGCTTTCTCTGTTGAAATTCTTGGAGCTTTGAGGTTGAGAAATGCACCTCACACTTCTTAGCTTCTGAGGAGAATATTGGAAAGCACAATATAAATGTAGGATCCTAGACAGGATTTCAAAACAAACGAACAGAAAAAGCCAACCAAAATGAATCCCACCCCAAACCTTCTAGGGCTGATTTGCTTGTGGCACATATGTTATGTGAAAATTCATCTTGAGGAATTTTGTTTAATAACATATAACTCTTGATTTGGTAAATAATTGTAAATTCTGTGCTTTATTTTGGTGCAGGTATCAGTATTATATGCAAATGGTTACTAGAGCGTTGTTGTACTAAACATGTTACCACTTCCACACAAAAATAAAAATAATAGAATGAAATCAAGAGCTTTGTCAAATTGGAAACTGCTCAGAATTGTTCATTCTTGGAAAAATATGAGTTTAACTTTTTTCATATTCGTGGAGAAATCAGAGGTCAAGGTCTTGCAATTTTGTACAGGATGAGTGCTCAGGGTTTTTGTGAGCTACATGAAAGGTTTGAAAAGAGCTGTTGTGAATGATGCTTATGTCAGTTTGAGAACCTGGACGTGCATTACATAGTGCTGAACAGTATTTTACATTTATGCAGGTTCCTCTAAAGAGGGAGGAGCTGGAGCTGTGGATGAGGATGACTTTATTAAGGCATTTACAGATGTTCCTACTGTACAGGTAAGATGCTGTGTGTACTCATGCTTGTTTTCAGAAATATCCTGTTTGAAATGCTATATGTTAGCTTACTTTTAAAACTTCTGTAATTTTTACTGTCTTCTAACCAAGTGTCAGTACTTTTCCTTCTTTCTTAATACTTCATTTTCACTGTCCGTGGAAAGTTCTTTACGTTTTCCTGTTGTTAGTTATCAAAAAACACCTGGTTTTACTGTCTTATTAAATATAATCACATTGTGTTTCAGCTAAAATCTGTTGATGCTTTTCTGAATCATTTTAGGGAGCTACTGAAGATAATTGTGGTTTAATTTTGATAAGAAAAAATTTCCCATAATGCTCGAAAAATGTAGGACTGCAATTTTGTGGGATAATCAAGTAATAATAATAATGCAGGCAACTGATTTAAAAAGCAAAAATTGTGTTTTCAAATGTGAGTTCCTGCATTGTAATGATGTGTGTCTGGCATACATGTCCTCATTTCTAGCAATACATTAAAAAAAAAGTGGTGCTTTGTTTGAATACTAACGAACCTGCTGCATTTCTTGAGTGAAATACCAGATCTTAATTTCTCTTTTTAAGTGTGGGAATTGCACATACTTGGTACTTTCACACAGTTAAGTCACTTAACATGCTTTTATCTTCCTAGACCTATTTTGAATAAGTTTTCCTTGAGCAGCTGATGTGTGGAAAACAACCAAAACCTCAGTCAGCCACAGTTCTCAAAGCCCAGAAGGATTTTGTATGACTGTCTTCTCTTGATTTGTATTTTTGTTCTGTTTTTATTTCCCAAGATGATAGTGTAGTTGTTAGATTGCCTCCTGTAGGCAGAAATAGTGTCTGCTTTTATGAAGGAGCACTTTATCTCCATAGTTTCTGTCACATTGAGGAGATCTTTGTCGTTGACTGTAGGGCCTTTGTTTCTTTACCTCTCCAAAATGTGGTAAAAAACTCTTTAGAGGGCAAAACAGCTCTTAATATTATTTATCCCCATTATGTTGAACAAAGCCCTATTTCACAGCTCAGAAAATGTCCTGCTGGTAGTTCGGTGCCTTAATATTTGCAGTTTCAGCAGAGTTCTGTCATCACTCAAGTTGGTTAATAACATTGTAAGAATTGGGGTAACTGTGATTTTCTGTCTGATTGCCGGGTGGTCTGGGAAGGAAGGTCATTCCTAAAATGCAGTAGGTGGAGGAGAAAGACCCACTCGTCTTTAGTAATCTCACTTGAGGTGAGGAGACAGGGAAGAAATGGGTAACTGACCCTAAAATAACCTGTTTGTGTCATGGTCAATGGAAGAAAGTCATTTGAAGAAACACCTGTGAACCAGATGGGAAAAAAAGGGATTTTTTTTTTGTTTCCTTTGGAGTAATGACTTCCTGCTTTCCATCTTCTTGTGGACAGTCTCTGATCATTCCAAAAAAGGCATATCCCCCATTCTGAGACCATGTTAATTACTAAGGAAGACAGAAGTTTCTGTACTAGACGCTGTGAAGAAAAATGTTGATGACCTGTAATCTTCCAGGTTATTTGAAAAGCAATTGTTAGGCAGAGTGGGGAGAGGTTTGTGCCTTACTGAGTCCGTTCCTGTGTCTTTCTGTTTTCATTACATCTGTGGGTTTTAGTAGTGGCTTCAGTGAAAGTAAGGAAGGGAACTGTATTATGGGAAAACAGATCCAATTCTGAATCAAGATTAAGTGCATCTGGATTAATCAAGTAAATTGAGGTTACTTACAGTGTGTGTATGTTTATCTCATTCTTAAAAGCCTCCAGTGATGTATCTGCCTTTCCAGTAACCTGTTCCAATGGCTGCTCATCACTAATGTTTTAGGAATATTATATTGTTTACTCCGTTCTAGCTTGCAATCCCCATATTGGAAATACTTTCCATCTGAGTCGTTATTACTCCTATTTATGTTTGAGCTTTTAATTTTTTTGTATTTGATGTTGCCACCTACCTTTAATGATGTGTGTGTGTTGCCCTCTAATGGATGACAGCAGTCCATGAAGAACATGGGTGATTTTGAGATACGGTCTGATGGATCTGTGGGCCAGAAAGAGAAGTCCTGTGGTGCGAGGCTTGTGTCTTCATATTTAAGATTACAACCATTATGTTTTTACAACTCTGTTTAAATATTTGCTTTTGCTTAAATTGAAGAAAGTTTTGTGTTCGGGTTATTAGGAGTAACTCCCATTAAGAGCTAGAATTTGTTTCAAAACAAATTTAATTGTTTTTATAGAAGTCTGATGTGGGAACTTACGGAAAAAATGTATTATGTCTTTGAACACAGAATTTCATCTTGGCCTTCTAAAATCATAATTAACCAAGGGCAGGGAGAAGAGAAGTTATTGAAATCGTTATCTTTTATTCTTCTGAAACTAATATAATTATGGACAACCTTGACAATTTGGGATTTTTCAGTGGAATTACAGTTTTAATTTCATCACAAGATAAAATTATTCCATGTAGTGAATTCCTCATTATAATGCCAGTTTGATTAGCAGAAATCGTATAGATCCAGTTATCTGTGCCAGTAAAGAAAAAAAACAGATTCTTTGTCTAGGCATGCAAGTAGGGCAGACATAAACCCATTGAACATGTTGCTTCTGTGCTTGCCTTATTGCCTGGCGTGTTTTAATTCTGCGTCAGTAACTCCAGCACATGGTCTCTGATAACACATAGGCTGACAACAAACAAATGTTTTATATTTGAAGATCTACTCAATGACACTGCTTACAAAAGGTATTTGTACCTTGACCAGAACCTCCGACTAAGTTTTGAGTGTGCACTAAGCAGATCTCAGCTGCCACCAAAAGGCAGGATCTTGCTTCCCTTGCTGTTGCTCTTCACTTCTTTGTGTTACGCTGGCAAATAATTTTTTGCCTTTCCTCTTGTAGTGTTAGCTTGTTGTATGTCAAAACCCTGAACTGGGAAGGAGAACAGGGCAAGGTGGGTGATGGTGAAGGGGGAGCCAGAGGAGGTTGAATCAAGTCATGAGTTCATGGCATTAGGGTCACCATAATGTGAAATTGCATCTTTAGTTAACAAGTGACTACTCACTTCCACTTTTAAAAGGTAAATAAGAATTTTCTTTGGTAATGGAAATTTAATTTGATAAAAATGCTTACCAAGACATATGTCTTAATAGTATGGTGCTGAGAGAATTAGTGTTGTGTTGTGTTGTGTAACAAATATTACATGCTACCAGTATACAGAAGTATATTAAATGGTGATACAGAACTCATGTTTGATTTTGTGAGCAGTGAAGTAGAAAGTCTGTTCTGCTTGGACCCACTGTTTTCACTGAATCACTTACTGTTTTTAAAGAAGTTGTGCATCAGACGTTTATTGACTTCCAGTGAAGAAGAAAACAATAATCATGAGGAATTGCTTTTTGGTTTTTTATGGATGCAGTTGTGTCCACTGTATAGAACTGCAAAGCTGCTTCCACAGTGTACCCTGGAAAAGCTTACATAGCTGTGTGGTTATAAAAATAGCAATTTCTTGGTAAAGCACGTTCAGAAATTGTTTTCTGCGTCATAGTGAATGTGGCCTGGGTGTCCTAATTCATCTGTTTCTCAAGTGGTTCTTACCCTGTTCAGCCTGGAAACCAGATATGCAGGTGTTAAAGAGCATGGATATCTTTCACCTTTTTAATATTCCAGAATAAAATAGAGAGGTCTCCCTAGCTATGTTCTTGTTTAAGCATTGGAATAAAAGTAGATGTCAATAAAGTCAAGGTCCCATATGTACTGTGGGTTACATTCATTTTATATGCTCAGGAAATTGGAAAACTAGATGGTATTTGGAGTAACTGTTGTAGTAATTTGAAGTTGCCGAGGAAAATAAGATATTTTGTAGAAATTACACATTCATCTTAGCTGTGTAATAGAAGAAAGATGTTCTTAAATCTTTTTACAGTAAAATAAAAGATAAATATATATACATGTAGAACAGTGTGTTCAAGAGACCACTGACCAAGTTCGTCAGCAATTAATGCAAAACAAGATGTCCTAAGGTCTCTGTTTCCTCCACACACTCTTGTGTTCTTGCACATACAGAAATTGTGTCTTGGGCGTAATTAGATGATGGAGCATCAGGCATTACTAGTTATGTGCTACAGGAGTTATCATGCTGGCCTCCAGCTTTCATCCTAGAAGGGTGTGAGTTTCCTTGAAGTCCTAAATCATATCTGCGAGCCCCATATGGATGTCTTGGATGTGTCTCAGATGGCACCAGATGTCTGTGTTTGGGCAACAGGGTTTAGCCCAATGTGGTTATATAATAAACAACTTTTGATCAAAAAAAATGGAGATCTTCTGATGAAAATACGTTTTTGAAAAAATCCTGTCCAGATCAAGTTTCTGGTTAGTAATTTGCTTTGTATCTTCTTCAACTTGTTCTCAAAACCTTTACATTTTGCATATTAAGTAGAAGCAGAGAAGAGTATCCTGTGGCTTATGTCTAGAAAGAAGAGAAGGGAAGTCAGTTTCTTTCTGATGTTAATAATACATTTTCGTTACTACTTTTAAAAATTTTCTTCTTTAGAAATCCACTGTTGTATGTGCATACAGTTATCAATATATACATTAATTCATTTATTATCAAATAGTTTCTGATGTATGACTAAGTTGGTTTGGCATCAATTTTGCTGGACTTTACTGTCTAGAGAGTAGAGACCTCTGACTGGAGGTTGCTCCTTAAATTTATTTACTGACTGCATAAGTTAATAGATGCCAGGCTTGGAGTAGTAATGTGCATAGAAGCTGTTGAAGCTTTTAATTTATTTTTTCAGAGAAATTTTTAATTTTAGTGTTCACTAGCGGCCCAGTTAGACCCTCACAGAGCCATGTACTTCTGTGATGCAGAAGATAGTCCCTGCCCTGGAAGAGTTGCAGCAGGTTAAAATCCTTTGGCCGAGCATCATTATAATAGCGGGTATGAAAATGAAATTGAATTGCAACAGTATTGCAACAGATTATCGAAAACCTCTGCTCGTATTAAATTGTAATTTTAAAAATGGAGTTAACAAAATTCTGGATATGACTGGATCATCCCAAAGTTGAAAGGTGAAATCTTGAGGAAAATGTTGATGCTTCATCTTTTCTTTGAATGAGTATTCATTACTCAGTGATACCTGAGAGATTTGCCTTAAAATGCCCATTTGTACCTCATACAGTTCTCTGGAACTTGTAGGGCAGGATTTTCAGAATTATAATTGTATTGTCAGTCTTCTCAAGCTCTTTTCTTTCATCAGGTTACTGGGGATATTAACAATATAAATTTTCTGTTTCCTTAATCTTCAGATCTATTCTAGTCGAGAACTTGAAGAAACGTTGAACAAAATCAGGGAAATTCTCTCAGATGACAAACATGACTGGGATCAACGAACTAATGCGGTACACTTTTTGTCTGGTTTCTGGTTTGGGTGGGTGTATTTCATAAAGCACAGGCAGCTGGATATTTTCAAATGTTTTTTCTTAATCACACTTCAGCTAATCCAAGAAATTTTCATTTTTAAACATTGAATTTCTGTAAACCAGATAAGTTTGAGCAAGTATTTTAAAAACACTGAAACACATTTTTGCTGACATTCAGGTGAAAGCTTTTCTAAAAGCCACCATATATGTTTCAGTTGGCATTTATGCAAAGCTCCATGTTCTGCAGGTAAATGCTTACATTAGTACCTCTTCTCTGTGTCTGTGGTAAGTTTCACTTGCAGAATTAAAAATGTTTGTGTGCATGTAGAATTTATATTTTTTATCAGGTTTAGGGCATCTTAGTGTTTGGAAACAGAGAGTGAACAGAGTTACGTATTTATGCAACTGTAGGCTGGGATCAGTCTACAAATTAAGCTCTAGAATTTGGGTAATAGAATCTTTTTACAGTTTTGAAAACGTGCCTATGTACATTTTTGCAATGAAGTTGTTACTTTTTTATTTTGAAATGCATATAGTTAACTAAATGCCTTAAATTTTTTAGCTGAAGAAAGTGCGGTCGTTGCTTGTTGCTGGAGCTGCACAGTACGATGGATTTTTCCAGCATTTACGGCTGTTGGACGGTGCTTTCAAGCTGTCGGCCAAGGATCTCAGATCCCAGGTGGTTAGAGAAGCATGCATTACTGTAGCGTAAGTATAGTTTATATGTGTCTCTCTGCATTGCTAGATTTTTAGTATCAATTTCACATAAAGAAGCTTTATCAGTGTTGCAGGGAAGACTATCTTGTTGGACTGCTGTACACTATGACTGATAAAGAGTCAAGTCAGCATCTGAACCCATAATGAAAAATAAACATTTAAGGGAATTAGTTCTTTTAGGTGATATACATAGCTGATAAACCTGTAACAGAGTGTATGTGGAGAACAAGTTACCATCATTACACTGAGTACTTAGTGCACGTTAATATAACCTACTGTATGTACTACTGTAATATTGAGGGCTAGTCTTAGAGCACTTGGGTGATTGGCACAGTACTTTACTGTGACTACTTGTAATAACAAAGAGAGCTGCCCAATAGTGTTTTGAGCCCTTGGACTTGACTGTTTAATTGTCTGAGATGCAATTTAAAAAGATAAAACCCAAGTGAAAGCTTCAGTAAAGCATTGTGCATTTTGGTGAGGCAATATTTTTATGTCCAAGATAATTTTAGAAGCTGTGACTAAACAGAAATGAGATCTCCATCCTCATAATCTTGGGGACTCTCATTAAATTCAGGAAGGGGATGAGGGAGGAAGCCTTATTTTTACCCTGGAGCAGTCTTTCCCACTTCCATGTTTTCCATGGCTTTTTTTTTCACTCTGGAAAGGCGTTAATGTAACCCCTGATTTTCAATGGCCATGTGGAATAAATGTACCCTAGAGTTCACCCTTTCTGTCCTGGTCTTCTGATCGAACAGACCATGGGGACCTGCTGGAGCATACAGCTGTCCTTGCCAGGGAAATTCAGGCTTTGAGAAAATAATGCTAACCTTTCCTAATGTGAAGTCAGGAGTAGTAGTGTAAGTGTCCTTATCCTGCATTCAAAAGGAAAATAAATCTTGAACAATAAATCTAAAATCTTACAGAAATGATATAATCTTGTCAAAGTGTATTAGAAAGCAGAAATACTGTGATGTTTTATGTGGATACGAGAATTTCAGCCTTTCAGATTGAGGTATTTGGTTTTCATTAGGAAATAAAGTTATTCGTGTTTAACCTCTTAATGTGTCTGCTAAGTAACAGAATTGTTCCACAAATCTTGCATTGCTAATGAGGCAAGGACTTGGACATCGTAAAATCAAGGAATTCTGTTGTTTGGAAACATAAATCTTTAACTTGTACAATGAACTTTTTCATTTTAAGACTAAGAAATTATTTTCTATTAACAAGTTTGGTTTTTTTTCCTAAATAGCCATCTTTCAACTGTTCTGGGAAACAAGTTTGATCATGGCGCTGAAGCTATTGTGCCTACTCTTTTTAACCTGGTTCCCAACAGCGCCAAAGTGATGGCAACTTCTGGGTGCGCAGCCATTAGATTCATTATTCGGGTAGGTGTTCCTCTCTCACCTTGCTTGCTAAGAATATTCAGGTAGTAGCTCTTAGCAGAGATGGTAACAATTCTGAAATACAGGATTATAAATCATTCTTCCATGGAGAAGTAATTTTTTCCACAGGTGGAGAAATACTATTTATCGTAGAAACCAATCAGCAGCATTACTTTGTGAAGATTTAGAAATGGATATGAAAAGCAAGTCTGTTTCCGTGTTGGCTTTTTTTGGTGACCTGTTAGTTATACGAAGACAAGTTATTTTGAAAGTTAACTGTGTTTAACTACCTTTTTTGGAGAAGACAAAGTTAAGCTAATAGTTAAGAAGATAGTAAGAATTTTTAAAAAAACAACAACAAAACAGCAAAACAACAAACCAAAACTATTTATTTTTACGAATAAATACATACTAAAAAAAATTGGAACTATGAAGTTAATAATAAAATGTTTGAGACCGGACATACATGGATCTGTTCAGGAAACACAAGTTCATGGATGAAAAGCCCAATAGAGATCTTAATCTTTGGGTTTAAGAACTTTCTAAGCTGAGTGTTTAAAGCTATAGCATATAGAAGAGGGTAATGCTGTATCCTAGCCTAGCTGCTTTTTTGTTGTCTGCTCCTTAAGTATGTTGACAGGCATCTGAAGAATGATATTTAGGTAGATTTTTGGAACTTGTATTTTTGTGTTTCTGAAAGAAGTGGGAGGTTTTCTGTAGTTTCTATATTAAGAGCTGCAGTGTTCTTAATGCTAGGCACTTACTGCTGTTCACTATGATCTTGTCTGTGGTTTCAATTTTGTAAGTTGTTGAAAACCCAAGTGGTTTAATTCGCTCACACCTTTTATTGCCATCCTCACTATGCTCTGGAATCTGTACTTTCTCTGCCTAACCGTGCCTCTGAGAATGTGCTCTGGGACTTCTGCATTACTTTTACATGAGCACTTGGGCTAAGAACCATTAGCATTTTTCCCAGGCTCTTACAACGCACTGTGAGATGGTTCATGGCACAGAGTTGAGAGTGGAGGAAGAAATGCACCTTACACAGGTTGATTGAAGTTGTAGGAGAAGAATATCATATGCAGTAGTATTGGATGAGCTGAGGCATGTAAGAAACTGTCTTGTTTACAGGAGCCAAATCAAGAACCAGAAAAGCAGCCTGAAATAAAAATTCACCATTTATGTTAAATTGACTTTATTGGTTCATTTCTGTTGGAGACAAGCTTACACATTGGCTACAGCTGCCCACATTAAGTTTAAACTTCTGTTATTAGTAGTTGTAATTTAGCATATGAGATTGGAGGCATAGAAGCAAGAAAATCCTATCCATAGTGTTCAAATACCCAACCAATAAATGGCTTATGCACGGTCTTCTGAGAGAAGATTTGGGTTTCAGTGGGGAAATAAATAAATAAATATCGAAGTCAAATGAAATGCAGCCTCACTCTCCTTTGGACTTCTGTCCTTTGAACTGAATGAGAGTTGATCAGGCAGTGTGTGATCAGTTGAATATGTAGAGCCCAAGCCATTACAGCTTTTGAGTTCAGCATCTCACTCAAAAACTGCTATGAGAATCCACTGACTGCAGTTCGCATCCTGGTGCTTTAGTATCTAATTGCTGGGAGAGTGGGTCTGTATATAAAGAGAGAGACTGTATTACACCAGTGATCTTGAAGAGCTCCCTCTCATCTTTGCCCCTTTCTTTGATTTCATTTTTCTTCTTCAGATAGTTCTTACACTGTAGTCTGACTTCCCTTTCTTGATTCTTATTAAATAATGAAATGAATTAAAAAAAAAAATGGGAGGGAGGTTGTGTTATGATGAAGTGGCATGATGGCAGCAAATCTCTTCCAGAGGGAGGTGGGATTCAGATTGGGCAACTGAGGAGCCGGTGCGCTGGAAGGAAGTCCGTATCATTTCAGCTTCAAAGGGGAAACAGATTAAATGGGCAGTCTTAAAGCTGAACGAAAGCAAGCCTGAGGCTTTGGTTTCTTTGCAAAACCCTTTCTACAAATTACAATGTCAATAGCTCCAAAGACTTGGACCATACAGGTTTTTCCATCTGTAAAAATGTTTTATTCTTTCCCTTGTTATTGCTGCTTGTTCCCTTGCTGGCAGTCACATCCCATGTGATGCTTTACAGTTTGTAAACTATGTAAAACACAAACAAAACCCCTAAAACCCTGTTTAAAAGTGTATCGGTATGAACAAATGCAGTTGTTAGGCTCTTGCAGATTTTTTTAATTAATTCCTTCCTAATTCTGAAGCTGGCAGTACTCTTTAAGAGCTGATAATTATCTCTCTGGTTTTTTGGTGATCTATGTGTTTATATCCTGCAACAGTAACCTAAGGAGAAAGTGTGATATGTGAGATACTAAGAATTGTTCAGTACTGTGATTTTTAAGCAGTTTTTTGTAGGCTACAGTTGCACACTGTATTGGAGACTGTTTTAGAAGTTACCTTATGTATTTAATCAAGATAGGAATAAAGAACTGAAAATTGATTTGTTGAATGATGTTACTCTTACTTGGAATTAAAATGTTAATACTTTGTGTGTACAGTTAGTTAAGATAAGCTGAAGTAAGGCTGCTTTAATTCTGAGTTAGAGTATTGAATTTGGATTTATAGTAGTTTATCTTACCCATTTTAGATGGTAGTTCAAGGGTTTTGTTTTCCATGAGGATGTTAGGAGTTTGCATGTAGATTATATACATAAGCTTGTTTATATTACGTGTAATGTTTTTATTACTTTATTTATGTATTTTGCATTAAAAGGAATGTGTCTTTGTAGCATTAATCGTATTGATTGTTCCTTAAAAGAATGCCCATTGTTTCAAAATAAATTATATGCTTTGTGCTCCATAATTCTTATTTTTAAGACTATGGCTGTTGCCTTTTTATTCTGTGGCAAAGCTGATATCAGTTTACAACTCCTTTGAGGAGACACTTACATTTGAGCCTTCATATGTGACTCCTGATAGCTAAATATTGCACATCATGATGTGATTGCTGATGGCAATGGAAGTGCTCTTTGACATTTTGGAAAAAAATAGGTTTAATCAACTCAGATGCTAGCAGCAGTCTCTTATTATATAGTATTCTGCATTTAGTTTCAGTAAGCATTTTAAATTCTTGCAATTTTTATGTTGCTAATTCTGTTTGACTTAATTAGTACAGTAGAACTTCAGGAATGCTTTTGTCATTAACTGCTTTGTTGGTTTTTATTTTCCTTCAGCATACACATGTGCCACGACTCATACCTTTAATAACAAGCAACTGTACCTCAAAATCAGTTGCAGTTAGAAGGTGAGTACATTATAAGTAGCAAATTATTAAAGCTATTTAAAAAATATATATTATAAATAAA